CGATCTGGCAACTTTAGGCTGTGTGGAAGCAATTAGGTGCCAGATTCAGATATTAGGGTCGAATAAGCATTTTGGGGCTGATCAGCAATTAGGTGCCAGAAACAGCTTTTTAGGGACCAGAAACAAATATTCCCCCAAACAAATTGTCACACAGTCACGATTTTGACACCATAGTAACCTCCCTGCTCAGAACACGTCAAATGGTTCAGTTTAGTGAGCTGACCTGACCGTTTTTGCTTGGAGAAGATCAACCTTGTGCGTTGACCTTTAGGTCAAGGGCAGGTTAAAGCCACTCAGGACACAAAACTGGTCAAAATAATTCATGCTGCATACCGCTCGATCTGGCAGGTCTTCTGAGTCCATTGGTGGCTTTTTCAACTGGATAGCTCAATTCGTTTAGGAATTATTGATGGGAAAAGTTCAATGACCTTATTTACGTCATATATGACGTCACGCGAAGTCAACAATGCAAGCATTTTGCATCGAACGTCGCAAGGTGTGTATGGAAGCTTGATTCCATGTGCTTGGGATAGTCTTGAATCATTGCTTGCCCAAAAATAGATGTTTCCATATTTCCCCATTGACTTGAAATGGTAAGGTCACGTGACTGACCTGACCTCAGGTGAAATTTATCAAAAATCCGAGACGTACAAGTTTTGATGACTTGGAAGATCACTCAATCCTGTAAGTTTCATCTTCTTGTGAAAGATCTATTGTCTTCGAGGGCGGTGTGACTGCGATATTTTAGGACCATACAGAGGTTTACTTATGGCGTCATAGTTCAGTGACCTGACCTGAGTTGAAAAATTGAGGCCACGAGATCCAGCTTAAATCAAAGGTCAAGCATACCGGCTTGTATTTTTCCGTGACCAGCGCGTACCGAGTGATCGCAAAAAGCCGTCGAGCGATGGGGTTTGCACTCGTGTCTCCTCTCGGCCGGAGAGGGCGAAGGATCAATAATCAAGATCAAGAAATGGGATTAGTGGGTATAGGTGTGACTCTGCACGCACTAGTGAACTCCCTGAAGTAATTGGTAAATTGCTTGCATTCAGTTCAACTGAACGGCTAATTTTCAACATATCACCGAGCACCGTTACTTCAAGGTAGAGTTCTGCACGGCTGCAATTTTCCACAGCCTAGCCGCCTCGCAGCCGTGGCTCCACAGCCACAGCCGCCCACAGGCGTGGCAAACTGTGGGCAGCAAGCCGTCAGCCGGCCGTGGATACTTTCAATGAAATGCAACCAAATAGTATATAATAAGTTGTTTTTAGTTGAAACATATAGCCAAAAGCACATTGCAATGGGCTATAGATTCTCAAGCTCATTAAGCATAATAGGTTAAGTGGTTGTGTATCTGGCTTCAGGCGGAAGGCCTGAATCCTGATGCGCATCGCATGCCTACACAAGCCCTTGCAAGGGGTTAAGAAAGATGGGTAGGTAGGTACCTACATCAACAGAAAACATAAACAACGAACCAGAATAGAAGCACTAGCAGTATAGATGTTGCAGGCACTTTAGAAAATCAGTCATTTTGTAAAATGCCTAGGCATTTTACAAAAAGACGGCTGTTTGAAAAATGACTGAACGCAGCCAGGCTTTTTCAAAATGGCTAGCCATTTTACAAAATGACTAGGCATTTTGCAAAATGCCTGACCAACATGGAACGTAGATCCCACTACAGATACTATGGCCAACAGTTTTTGGACGTCTTCCTATACCCTATAGGTACGTGTTCAGCCTGTAGCTGATCGATTTGAAGCTCTGTGATGACGACAATGCTGAGTAACGACCAGGTTGACGCACGGACGCTCACTCACAGCCCACGCATCAACAAAGAAGCCCAGTGTGGACCACCCCTCCCCTCCTCAGTTGACTGGACAGCGCTCATTGGCTCTAAGGAACTTCAACAAGTCTACCCTAGGCCTAGTCCACGCAATTGTTTACAGTATTATTGTTTAGGTTTTCTTCCTAACTTTTCTTTGGAATAAAAAAGCTCTCTGATTACAATGAATATTAAAGCAATAATTAACAAAACACGATTAATTTTGTTCTGTGGCAACAGCTTTGAGTACCTACTTGCACGGTCCCAGTTAAAAATATCAAGCTCCACATCGGGAGAATCATCAGGTCGCTTGGCGTAGGACGAGAGCGTTGGTTTCAAAAGACACTAACGCCTAAGTGTGTGGGATCGAATCCTCGCGACCTCTAATAGTTTTACAGATACAGGCCGGCATAGGGCCAGTCGTTTGTTGACGCTCCAGATCGATCATTTTAAATCCAGCAGCGTCGCTGACGTGGGGGTTGGAAATGTCGCGGGCCTGCACTTCTCAAAATAGAGGTAGGTATGCACTTCCCACTGCTGGACTCCTCTGGTCATAATGCTGGACTCCTCAGTCCTCGGTCCACCTACACGCTACCAAAACGTATATAATTAGGTAGGTACTCGTATCTACAACACGCTGCTCAGTCATTTTGTAAAATGGCTAGGTATTTTGTAAAATGCCTAGGCATTTTGCAAAATGACTGGAGAGTCAGTCATTTTGTAAAATGCCTAGGCCTTTTGCAAAAACCCTGGAAAATCAGGCATTTTGCAAAATGCCTAGGCATTTTACAAAATGACTGATTTTCTAAAGTGCCTGCAACATAGACATCTAATGCCAAATCCTGAAGCATGTTTGTGGGATAGAACAACAGACCCTGATGCTTTTCATTATCGATGTTAGGTATGGAAAATGAGACTGAAGTTGATGGACTGTCAAAAAGTGATTGTCTAGTCAAAACTCTTGCTTCTTTCTTACCTTGCATATTTTCTGAAGTGTGATATGCCAGGCTTGAAGCAGCCTTCTGAGCAAGTCTCAAACTATTTTGATATGCAAGGCATCAAAACACTAGTGAGCATCCAAGAAAGAAAAACATTCATCTATTTTGATTTTTCCAAATAATGATCTTCGCTCAAATCCCCAAGGACGTGCGAGCCACAATTGCCTCTTTCAATCAACAATTTCACTTGAGTTTTTAATGACGTCAATAGCAAAGAAGTGGCAATAAATTGTTTTGTGTCACTATAAACAGCCATAAAAATTATAATCAATAAATAATAATATGAGAAAGCGCTTGTTTGAGGCTCATGATGATAAGTATAATGATGAAAGAAAACCGAAGCCTCATAATAATGAATGTATTCTAAATTATGACCGAGAAGAAAGAGATAACAGTTTCGGGCGTAGCCCATCATCAGATCTCCTAAAAGATACATTTTGAAAATTGTATAATAATAATATAATATAAATATATTAATAATATAATATTTAGCAATAAATAATAATGCTAAACAGTGCTCTCAAACAAAGATGAATTATCAAATTTTTACGTTTTCAGAAGAAGACGTCATTTTATTAGTAAAGTCAACAGCTCGCGTAAGAAATATTGTGTTCAGGGTTTTCACCGTCATGTGAATTACGTGTTCAGGGTTTTCACCATCATGTGAATTAACCGTAAGTAAGGTTCATGCTCACTTAGAATCTAATTCCATTGGCTTCGTTGATCAGCATTTTCTGTTAGCGGTCACTCACACACCAGTTAGAACATAAAGCGCCAGTTTTATATTATGTAATTGGACTTGCCGAAACTCCAGAAATACACCTAAGAGTTATTTTAGATAATATTTTATGAAGCCTTTACCTGCCTTTACCTAGACGTGATTTCTTTTTCTATTACCTGAAATAATTATTGAACGCTCGTCTTCAATAGCTGTAAGGTGCTCTCCTAATGACCAGGTGAGATTGATTTGAGAGGGATGTGACAATGCAACATATTGCATTTTCTGAAATTGTCAAGCTCTTGATGATGAAGGAACAATCGGTACCTATAATTAGTATTCTGTACCAGAGTCCAAACTCCCCTACAGCAAATGGTAAAACCATTACAGGTTTTCAAAGGCTTCACTACTTTCAATGTTGCTGGGCATCCTTTGCATGATTTTTACAGGCTAGACTGCTTATCAGAATGTAAGATTGAGGATTTAAAATTTTATATTTGAGTACCTACTTAAGATTGAGCTTGAAATCTCACAGCTGTGGCCACAGCCGTAGCCGTGTTCTTGGAGATATTTGCAGCCGCCCCGGCCCACAGCCGTGGGGCTGCAGCCAGCCGCGGCTGCAGCCGGCCGGTGCAGACCTCTACTTCAAGGTCACGCGCGGTTACTAAATATACGTTTGCATATAGCCATTTTCTTTAAAACTTCTGAATGGCCCACTCTAATTTTTTTCACAGGTTGTTAAGAATATGGTTAACAATAAAATATATAAAAATGAGCCAAATCAAAGGTGGCGTTTTTTGCTACATAAATTTTTGTGCTTAAGAACAGAGTTAAGCAAATTTCAAGGTCATATTTTTAGGTACATGCAATTTTTAACAAATGTTTAAGAAATTACCTAAACAGTGCGGTTTATTTCATTCAAATCCAACAAGTACAACCAAAGTTATGGTCGATCAAAAATATACAGATGCAACATTTTGTAAAAATTTGATGCCCTATATTTAGAAGACCTATGGTCAAAATGTGCAAAAAAAATGTCAATGTAATGTCCGGAGCGACACAGGAGCTCGCTCACAAATTTAGAATGGAATCGCTAATGGTAAGGTGCAAAACAGCCGATTTTTGTTCCATTTGACGTGGAATGCCCCAATTGATAAATGTTCAGGGGTATAAGGGCAGCTGGCGGGTATCAGGAAAGTTCAGGGCAGCGGCTGCGGCGGCGGTGGCTGGTTTTATTGGTAGCCAGTAGCAGAGATTCTCTTTTTTAACCTTCGCAAAATATCAGCTACGCACAAACAACCAAGAGGAAATGATTACGTTTCGTACGGTCGGAGAGAGGCACAAATTCCGAGTTATTCTTTCCGCCACCGGAAACCCATCGAAAACACTTCAGCAGACTGCAGCCACACTCTGAGGGTTACAGCAGACCACCTCTGATGGAAGGGTGTACTCGCCGTCTCACCTCACAATCGAACAGCTGCAGCGCCAGCTGATCATCAAACACGGTGAGTCCGTGCTTGGTGCCGGCAGCCCAGATATTGGAGGCGATGGCGGCCACCACATCACATTGCTGCTCCGAGCCGCCGCCGCTGTACGCCAGAGGCGCGCCCTCCAGGTTCATCAGTCTGCACGCCGCGGACACACACCATACGTCACACAGTCTGCACACCGCGGACACACACCATACGTCACACAGTCTGCACACCGCGGACACACACCATACGTCACACAGTCTGCACACCGCGGACACACACCATACGTCACACAGTCTGCACACCGCGGACACACACCATACGTCACACAGTCTGCACACCGCGGACACACACCATACGTCACACAGTCTGCACACCGCGGACACACACCATACGTCACACAGTCTGCACACCGCGGACACACACCATACGTCACACAGTCTGCACACCGCGGACACACACCATACGTCACACAGTCTGCACACCGCGGACACACACCATACGTCACACAGTCTGCACACCGAGGACACACACCATACGTCACACAGTCTGCACACCGCGGACACACACCATACGTCACACAGTCTGCACACCGCGGACACACACCATACGTCACACAGTCTGCACACCGAGGACACGCGCCATACGTCGCACAGTCTGCACACCGCGGACACACACCATACGTCACACAGTCTGCACACCGAGGACACACACCATACGTCACACAGTCTGCACACCGCGGACACACACCATACGTCACACAGTCTGCACACCGCGGACACACACCATACGTCACACAGTCTGCACACCGCGGACACACACCATACGTCACACAGTCTGCACACCGCGGACACACCATACGTCACACAGTCTGCACACCGAGGACACACACCATACGTCACACAGTCTGCACACCGCGGACACACACCATACGTCACACAGTCTGCACACCGCGGACACACACCATACGTCACACAGTCTGCACACCGCGGACACACACCATACGTCACACAGTCTGCACACCGCGGACACACACCATACGTCACACAGTCTGCACACCGCGGACACACACCATACGTCACACAGTCTGCACACCGCGGACACACACCATACGTCACACAGTCTGCACACCGAGGACACACACCATACGTCACACAGTCTGCACACCGCGGACACACACCATACGTCACACAGTCTGCACACCGAGGACACACACCATACGTCACACAGTCTGCACACCGCGGACACACACCATACGTCACACAGTCTGCACACCGCGGACACACACCATACGTCACACAGTCTGCACACCGCGGACACACACCATACGTCACACAGTCTGCACACCGCGGACACACACCATACGTCACACAGTCTGCACACCGCGGACACACACCATACGTCACACAGTCTGCACACCGCGGACACACACCATACGTCACACAGTCTGCACACCGAGGACACACACCATACGTCACACAGTCTGCACACCGCGGACACACACCATACGTCACACAGTCTGCACACCGCGGACACACACCATACGTCACACAGTCTGCACACCGCGGACACACACCATACGTCACACAGTCTGCACACCGCGGACACACACCATACGTCACACAGTCTGCACACCGCGGACACACACCATACGTCACACAGTCTGCACACCGCGGACACACACCATACGTCACACAGTCTGCACACCGCGGACACACACCATACGTCACACAGTCTGCACACCGCGGACACACACCATACGTCACACAGTCTGCACACCGCGGACACACACCATACGTCACACAGTCTGCACACCGCGGACACACACCATACGTCACACAGTCTGCACACCGCGGACACACACCATACGTCACACAGTCTGCACACCGCGGACACACACCATACGTCACACAGTCTGCACACCGCGGACACACACCATACGTCACACAGTCTGCACACCGAGGACACACACCATACGTCACACAGTCTGCACACCGAGGACACACACCGTACGTCACACAGTCTGCACACCGCGGACACACACCATACGTCACACAGTCTGCACACCGAGGACACACACCATACGTCACACAGTCTGCACACCGAGGACACACACCATACGTCACACAGTCTGCACACCGAGGACACACACCATACGTAGGGGGGGATCCAAGGGGGAAGGCCAGTGCCCCCGCCCCCTCCCCTGGGGCCCGGGGGCACCAAAGGTCTGTCAGGGGCACCACAGGCCTGTCAGGGGCATCACCGGCCTCGCAGGGGCACCTTGGGTCTGTCAGGGGCACCACGGGCCTTTCGGGGACACTTCAGGCTTGTCAGGGGCACCACAGTCCTGTCTGGGCCCAGGGGCACCACAGGCCCAGCAGGGGCACCACGGGCCTGTCAGGGACCCACAGGCTTGTCAGGCAGGGGCACCACAGGCCTGTCAGGAGCACCATCGCCCTAGCAAGAGCACCACAGGTCTGCCAGGGGCACCACAGACCTGTCAAGGACACCACCGGCCTCGCAGGGGCATTTCAGGCTTGTCAGGGGCGCCACAGTCCTGTCAGGAGCACCATCGGCCTAGCAAGAGCCGTACAGGTCTGCCAGGGGCACAACAGACCTGGCAGGGGCACCACCGGCCTCGCAAGGGCACTGCCGGCCTCGCATGGGCACCTTGGGCCTGTCAGGGGCACTTCAGGCTTGTCAGCGGCACCACGTCCCTTCCAGCGGCACCTGCGGCCTAGCAGGGGCACCACAGCCCCCCCCCCCCAATACTGAAATTAGGGCGCCACCAAAATTAAGTGGCCGAAATCGATTGAGTTTTTAATTTTGGGTATAGGGAGGGGCACCACTTCGATTATGACCCTCCCCTTGGAGTTTCCCTGGATCCGCCCCTGAGTGAGTGCGAAAAGACAAGACAAGAGACGGTCTCACCGATCATCCGATCAGTATCGGGTCAAATCTGGAGTTCCGGATATTTTAAGTTGCGCCCGGGCGGTGCCACTGCACACAGCCGCTATCCGGGTTCAGAAGTGGCCAATGCCCTAATTTTCGACAAATTTTAAAGCGTGCTTTTCTCACATTTTCTGGTCGTAAATTGATCAGACTGTATGAAATGTCATCCAGAAAAAATATTACTCATTCTGGCACAGATTGGTGGGCTCCCAAAGTACATCGTTTTGTTTTGCTCCGTGAGACCGAACTTGTGCTGCGATTTTCATGTAAATGTTGACGAGTCTCCTGTCATATTCTTTGCTTGAAAATGCGTAAGTAAGATATCAGCTGATCTCCAACTATCTCAAGGACACAGAATCGTGATTTGATGCACTCCTTGCAAGGTTAGATGCGTCACTTTTGCAATGTTGACCTTCCGTGACGTCATTTATGACGTCATCAAGGTCATATTAGTTTTTCGTCAATAACTCCCGACCAAATTGAGCTAGCGAGTCGAGAAAGCCACCAATGGACTCAGGAAGACCTGCCGAATCGAATGATATGCGACATGACCTCTTTCGACCAACTTCGTGACCTGGGGGTGCTGACCTGACCTTGACCTGAGGTTAACACCCTAAGTTGATCTGACCCGAACAAAAAGTATATCATTCGACGTGCCTGAGCGAGGCGAACACGATGCTGCCAAAATCGCGGCTCTGCGGCCGTTTTTTGCGAAGTTATTCACCAAAAACTGAACCGTACCCTGGGGCACTTGACCTGACCTCAGAGGTCACCGGTTGACCTAGGACCTTAAAATCGGGTACCAATCTCTGCGTCTCGTAACGGCGCACACGCTCGTTTTTTCCGCGACGCGCTAGCTCCACCAGGGGCGAAACGGCGAGGGGGGGGGGTCGTACCCCCCCCCCCCTCGGCCGGCGCGTATGTAGAAAACCGATAGGTCCGGCGAGGGTTAACTTAACTTTCCTAGGCTGATGACAAGGTAAACACCTATTCATTGTAATATTTCTAAAATGTAAATAAATCATGAGCGATGAGCATAAAAAAGTGAAAAGAACAGCGATCAACTAGGAGCTAGCGCGGAAATCCACTGACGTAGGTCGCCTCGTACTGGCGCAGCTCGTACAGCGGCACCGGCGTATCCCGCACCCGGCCGTCCGCCTTGCCCGCCTGCGCCATCAGCCGTTGGAAATGGCTGCGCTGCCGCTCAAACATTAGCGTGACCGCCTGGCCGGCCCGGCTGACGCGCGCCGTCCGACGCACGCAGTGTGTCTTCAACAGCGCCGGGATGTCGTACGACACGACCGCGTCCACGGCGTCCACGTCAATACCGCGCGCCATAGCCTCGAGCACACCAGCGCGGCCATCTCAGCTAGCGCGCGCCGCCGCTGGCCCGCCGGCACTGCCCCAGGGAACTCAGTCTCGCGCGCGCCCAGCACCGACAGCGGTAGCTCTAGCCGGTGCGCCGCCCCCTTCGAGTTGACCAACACGAGCAAGCGCCGCCAGTCGGGCTGTCGGAGCAGGTGGTTCATCAGCTTCAGCGGCTGCCACCACGCTGAACGACTCGCTCAGCTCGGCCGGCGTGGTGAACCTGCCGACGAACTGACCGGGCAGTGCGGCGGCGGCGTCTGATTTTTAAATCGTCTATATCTTTAAAACCGGCCATTTCTTAGCATATTGCAGCTCATTTTTATCGCTAGAAAATTTGTTGGACTTTCTAATGACATCAACGGCTGAGCGATATGTGTAGAGTGTCACCAACAATCTTCAAATGAAGTTAGTCATTTTTACGTTGTAAAGGAATGGAGTACCCCTTGCGAGCATCAGGGGTGACGTCACTCAGGATCTGTCTCTGATTGGTCGGCGGGGGAGTGACTGTACCTTCTATAGATGGCCTTGAGATATGCAGTGCCTAGTGGTGCCTACCTACATGCCAACTTTCAGCGCAATCGACCAAGTAGTTACCGAGATATTGTTTGCAACAATTACAAAACTGACACCACTTCGTTTTGCACGTGGCACGTGCATAAGGAGTCACCCACATGCATCAGGAATAGTCCAATACTTGGTAGAAGGAATGAAGCTACCCTACAAAAATTACCGCATGCAAATCGGTCAAGTGGTTGCTGAGATATAAGCCTCGCAAAAGCGTCCGCACGGCCGGCCGCTCATACTCAGAAATTTCCGTTAAAGGTAGTGTGCCACCTTTGAAAG